ATTTGAATGTGTAAAGAGGTGTGAGATCGCATGTGTAGACGATACTGGTGGACAGCCTCTTGTGAATCTGTTGGGACGAGTTTAATGCTTTCAGACAGGTGCCACAGCTTAGGAAAACAACTAGTGAAGGTTTTTGATTTGTGCATGTTCTTCTGCCAATTTCCTGCTTTTTTAATTGGTAAAATGAAAATGATGGCACAGGTGATTGGTTTAAAAAGTTACTGCTACTGAGATTAATGAGAACACTTAACACATATTTTTTTTCAGGTATTTTTTGGCCTCTTTGGTTGTGAAAGGGAAAGACAGAGACAGAAGGAGGATGCAGTCTGGCCAGACCGTCTCTTTCTAAGCGTTAATAAGAAGGATAATCACATTAGAGGTTTATGGAAGGCTTGTAGTGTGGTTGGTTGTAACTTTATTAGCAATTACGTGAACATGGCCTAGCACAGTGTTTTCATGCATGTACTCTGGGTACATGCAGTTTTTTTTTTTAACACAGGCTCATTGGAAATATCTGTCTCAGCCTACATTTTTGCAAAAAGTCATCCATATGGAGATACAGGTGAGTATGTGATCACTAATGTATTTGATTACAAATCATGATCATAGTTAAGTGATTTTGTGGTATTTGTTTGGTATTGGTAATGTGCAAACAAAATAAACAAATCCTTTATTCATTGAGTATGTTTACATGGACACCAATAATCTGATTTTAACCCAGCAGGCACACAACATCATAAGACATTAATATTAGGTTAGATTAAGGTCATGACGTCAGGTGAAGAAAGTTCAATGTCTAGCCAGCGTCTAAGGACAACATTATTTTGACGTTCAATAACGACGTCAAATTACGTTGAAATTTGGTTGATTTTAGGTTGTGTTGGAAAGTGACCAAAATCCATTGTCTGACAGATGTCATGGTGGTAACGTCCACACAAAGTCAGAGGGTAAAATAATTAGACATTGATATTTGGTTGATTTTAGGTTGATTTTAGGATGGATGTTGGACATTGATGTTGGCCTGATGTTGGGTTCTGTCCCCAAGATGTTGCAGTATGTTAGGGTACAACGTCAATATGATGTCATGTTGACGTCCTGTGCCTGCAGGAAATACGATTAAGACAATACTCTGATTAAGAGTCTACCAAATGAACTGCGATTTAGAATAACCTTATTCTAAGTCATAATCAAACTAAACAGAAATCGAATTAAGACATGTGGAGTATGCTGATTTTAGTCGCATTACTGAAGTGCAGTACAGACATGTAAGAACCCTAATCAAACTATTACTGCTGTATAGGATTTTGATTGCATTTTGCGACAGGATAGTCTATTCACACACGGCTGTTGACACTATTCTCTGCACTTACCGAGTCAGTGAAGGACCACAGACACCTGCATTGAGAAATGCGGAAGTTTTTTTCCCCATACAGCAAGCGGTATCAAATTTCATTGAAACAACACTCTTCCAGCAGTTCATACTCGCATCCAATATCTCGTTGGTCACCGGGGCATGAATGAAATGTTCTTGAATTAAAGTGAAAGTGCCAAACTGCAGTTAAAGTTGACAAATTAAAAGTGAAACACCCGAAATTACATGAAACTCTGGAGGAAATGTGGACAGCCTGGTGACGCAATAATGTTAATCGAATTATGTGCTGTAACATGTAAAACACGATCATTGAAAAGAATATTCAAAAAGCAACTCATGTAAACACCTTAATCATATTATTGTCTTATTCAGATTAAAGCAAATTATTTGATTACTGATGTCCATGTAAACATAGTCATGAATAATATGTCCATGTAAATATCATAAGTGTGAAAAGGGATAAAAGTGGTTGCTATCATACTGTCTTGTAGCCTTCATTTTACCTAGATACTGAAATCAAAGGTATGTTGTTTTTCACAAAAAGCCTTCATTTCCATCGAACCTGTGCTGTTTTTCCTATAGTAATCAAATATTTGAAATGTTCCTTAAAATTACAGTAAAACATCTAAATAGTCTATCTTTTTAGAAGTTTATGAAAGAATTCAGTTCAGGGAGGGGTTTTCCAACTTTTTGAGATTTTTTAAAATGATATTATCTAAGTCCTTCTTGTTAATTTTCTTGTAAATGATGCATTTATGTGACATAGCGGTACCCAGTGTTCACTATATATTAACAAGATGGTTAGTTGTTTAAATTACAAAATATTAATATGTATTTAGAGGCTCAGTGGTTAAGACTGTCGCCTCACTGTCGCCCTGGTTCAAGTCCCGGCTGGGTCTGTAGGCATTTCTGTGTGGAGTTTGCACGTTCTCCCCATGTTTGCATGGGTTTCTTCTGGGTGCTCCGGTTTCCCCCACAGTCCAAAGACATGTGCTATATAGTTGAATTGAATAAGCTAAATTGGCTAATAGTGTATATGTGTGAATGTGAGAGTGCATGGGTGTTTCCCAGTAACATTTGCTGGACAAGTTGGCGGTTCATTCCACTGTGGTGGCCCTAGATTAATAAAAAGACTATGCTAAAAAGAAAATGAATGAATGAATGAATGAACAAGGTTTTATTCCTTTTTGGATGATGTTTCACTAGGGTGTATGGATGTCAAAGAAAAGATCAGTCATAACTTCTATTATGCATAGCAGTTAGAGTTCAATATATAAATACAAGGTTTTTTGTTTTGTATTGTATTTTGTTTGTTTTTTGTTTGTTTGTTTGTTTGTTTGTTTGTTTGTTTTGTAAACAGACAGTTGCAGTTGCACATACAGAAGAGCTCCAGAATCGCAAAGTGTAAACTCACAATTTGAGAAAAGTCAGAATTGTGAGGTAAAAATGTAGTTCAGTGGTGAAAACTGAATCACATACAGTAGGGGAGAATATGTGAATATCACTAGTGCTGTTAAACAATAAACCATGACTATTTACACACGAAATAAACGTTTGTGCATTTGGCTGCGTGTCTGCTATATGTATAAACAGTGCAACAATGTATATTATGTAAATACTTTTTTGTTTTGTTTTTGTGGTTGTACACAATTCGCCATGATTTATCCTTAAACATCACTAAAAATATCACATCTCCTAAATATTATTTATAAGCAATTAAATGTTCTTCATGTCTCCTTGGTTCACCCATATTTAAAACCAACTAATAAAAACTTGTTTTTCATAAAACATATGTGTAAAAATATAAACTAAATATTTAGCATATCTAAAAACGGTTTTAACACCAGTCCACACACACACGTGCATTGACACGCACATGGTTTTTCAGGGACTTAAATGCAGCACAAAATCGTTTCCAAACAGACATGCAAGAAGTCGATGACCGTCTGCTTCCTTACATGCGCAGAAACATATGCATCACTCCTACATGTTTATCTTCAGTTACTAAACAATGTGAAAATGTGACACGCCAAAGAAATAAATAAATATAAAACAGAATAAATGACAAGCTGATAGACTGCTTTTATCAAAATGCTGTTTCCAAGCAACTAACAGGTGAGAAGAGCTGTGGCTCTGTGCTTATACAATGCGGACATTATCAGAGAAACAACAAAAAAAAAACAGTGTGAGAAACCGAATATATGACTCAATGACCACATGAGGATGATCCATAATAATAACAGACCTCAAAGACAGACATCAAATACTAAATGCTACTGAAATAATACTAGATAGCAGCACAGTATAAGCCAATAAACTGCCAAAATAAACACACTGTGCACTACATACAGCGTTTCTGCACGTTTCATCAAATCAAATTTAAGACATTTTTAAATTTTTAAAACACAATAAATGAAATTCCAGACTTATACAGGGTTAAACACAAAAGGTTGTTCTCATGGCCAGTAGAAAAATATTAACTTGCCCCATTATAATTCAAATTTACTTATGTCTTAGCCATGTATTTGAAATAATGTGTCAAAAGATTTAATAGATAGTTAAAAATAGACGATGCCATCGTCCATCGCCGATGGCCAATAGACAACAAGATGCTGAGCCGGCATTGCCCATCCTCCGCCCCCGACCCCGCCGCAAACCCGCTCACGAAAAATATACACTAGGCCCCGTTTACACTAATTTGTTTAGTGTTAAAATGGCACTTTAGAACGGAAATGTTTAACCTAGCATTACTGAACAGCCCTCCGTCCGCTGAAAACGCACATCACGTGACCACACACACACATGCGCTTGTCAGAGCTCCAGTGAGCAGTGCACGTTGGACAGTTTATCAAAGACTTACCGCTGGATCGCATCTCACTATTGTTGTTAAACGTGACATTCAAACATCCCAAGTCTCCCGGAAGTTCCTGGAGTCTCCAGTTGTAGTTGTAGTCTGATGTCATCACTTTAGTGTGCATTAATAAGCAGGACAAATTTAACGTCTGTTCTAGTCCACCATTTAAAGTCTATACAAAATGTAGTATAACAGTAGACCAATGCATAGGCCTATTTACTACTGTATTTGTTCATGTTAGTTAACGTTAGTTAATGAAAATATAGTAGTTCATTGTTAGTTAATGTAATGTGTTACCTATTTATGTTTATTTTATATCGACAAGGCCGTGAGAAAATTGCAATCTTGATTTTAAGCAAAAAAAAATTGTGATTCTCTTTTTTAACCAGGATCGTGCAGCCCTAGTACATCATCCAGCTTTTTACTCTTAATGAATATCCAAGTGAAATAAAAAACTCAATTCATCAAAACTTACTACACAAAATCAAAAAATCAGTACAACATGCCATTTAATGTACTGAAAGCCATTGAAAGGGAAAGCCTGATGACTCACAAATGGCTCCTACTGGGAAACATGATGTGACAGGAATATAAGCTGGTGTGTGTATGCATACCATGTGATTCATTTACATTCAGAAGACGCCTGAAGACTTACAAACAATATCTGGTATGATTAAGCTGGTTTGTGTGTGCGTGCGTGTGCATATATCATTCATTGAAAACCAGAAGCAAGGTCTTGATCGTGATAGAAGGAAAAAAAGCATTCAGACTGACCAGTAGTGTGTGCTGTTGTCGAAGCAGGCAGAGGGCGGCAGTCTCAGGTGAGAGTTTGTGTTTCCTGTCCTCTAGCAGCCGATATGCTTCCACATGCTGAGCCGGGAAGCCAGATAAATGCAAGGGAAACACCTCATTCTTCAGTTTCTGGAAAATACGAAAAGTACTGTATAAACTCATATTTAAAAAAATGAGGGTCAGACTGTTCTTTTTTAAAAATAAATAAATACTGTATTTAGGAAATATCCATTTGTTTTCATTTTATAATTCAAACATTTGTGGTTAGACCTCTTTTTTCATTTAGGAAGGATACGTTCATTTAACAAAGGAACAGTAAAGACTTTTGTAAAATCATAAAATATATAATAGAAATAAATGGTGTTCTTCTGAACATTCAATCAATTTCAGAATTCTGGAAAGGTTGTATGTTTCCACCCAAATGTAAAAGGTTTAGTTCACCCAAAAATGAAAATTCTGTCATCATTTACTCACTCTCATGCTACTCTAAAACAAAAATTCTGTGCATCTTTGCAACATAAACAGATATATTTATATAAGATAATGAAATCAGAAGTTTCTTCTCCTCCTTTGACATCCTACATAATGATCACATTCAAGACTTGGAATGGTAGTAATGGCATCATTCAAATACTCCATGTGACAAAAATGGTTCAATCTAAAACTTCCACATCATGAAACATTTAGAGTTACAAATAATAAGAACTGCAGTTTTCATAAATTTACATAAAAAGCCTTGTCAGACCAACAGAATTTAGACATTCTTTGAGTTCCCAACATGCATTGATGCATAAAAAAACGTGATTATACATAAGCTTGAATTTTTTTATTTATTTACTGTTTACAGATTTTTGAAATCATCTGTTGTTATTTTCTCATTAGTGTTAATTATATGTGTAGTGATGTTTAGAGCTCATCGTTTTTCATCTGTGGAGTGTCACTGTTCAAGTGTTGAGGCTTACAGTAGAAAAGCACAAAATCCTAGACAGTTTGCTATAGTGTATAGTGTAGTGTAAAGCCTGGTTTATACTTCTGCGTCAAGTGACCGGCGTAACCCACGACGCATGCAACGCGCGTAGCTGTGCATTTATACTTCTGCACGCTGTCTCTGTTGGTCTGCATTAACACTTTAGAAACGCTATTGGCAGTGAGGTGTAAATGTTCCTATGTGTCAAGTTTCTTCGCTGCTGTTTTGTTTTCCTGAACACTTCCGGGATGTACAAGTGGCTCAAACTCGCTCATTTTGAGGCAGGAACCGGCGGACGTGCAACAACTTTAACTATGAGGTAAACACAAAACAAAACTTTCCATCCGGAGCTCCTTCACGGGACTCCACACTTGTAAACAATCGCTCCATCGGGCTCGCACCATTCACGCGGCTCTCGGTCCCGCCCAGACTCGTCAGCGCTACCAAGCCGACCAATCACAGAGCTTGCGCTACGCGTCGTTGCGACGTGTAGTTACATTTATTGAGAGGTGCCACGGCGAAGGGCTAGGCGTCAGCGCCTTAGCATACGCCGGCGTTTGACGCAGAAGTATAAATCAGCCTTAAAGCTGTCAGAACACCTAGCAAATGGATAATGTTTGATTTTTGTCAGATAATTATAAGAAAAGCTGCACAATATTGGAAAAATCTGGCATTGAGATATTTTGTTTTGCTGCGATATACACTCATCGGCCACTTTATTAGGTACACCTGTCCCACTGCTCGTTAATGCAAATTTCTAATCAGCCAATCACATGGCAACAGCATGCAGACATGGTCAAGACAATCTGCAGCAGTGCAGTTCTACAGAGAATGGTCTGAAAAAGAAAAAATAGCCAGTGACCGCCAGTGCTGTGAGCGCAAATGCCTTGTTGATGCCAGAGGTCAGAGGAGAATGGCCAGACTGGTTCCAGCTGATAGAAAGGCAACAGTAACTCAGATAACCACTCATTACTACCAAGATATGCAGAAGAGCATCTCTAAACGCACAACAGGAACCTTGAGGCGGAATGACTACAGCAGCAGAAGATCACAGCGGGAGCCACTCTTGCTAGTTAAGAACACAACCTGATTATTGTTGCTGACCATGTCCATCCCTTTATGACCACAGTGTACACATCTTCTGATGGCTACTTCAGGCAGGATAACGTGTCATGTCATAAAGCACCAATCATCTCAGACTGGTCTCTTTAACATGACAATAAGTTCACTGTACTCAAATGGCCTCCACAGTCACCAGATTCAATCCAATAGAGCACCTGTGAGATGTGATGGAACGAGAGATTTGCATAATGGATGTGCAGCTGACAAATCTGCAGGAGCTGCGTGATACTATCATGTCAATATTGACTAAAATCTCTAAGGACTATTTCCAGTACCTTGCTGAATCTATGCCACTTAGAATTATGGCAATTCTGAAGGCAAAAGGGGCTCCAACTCAGTACTAATGGGGGTAACTATTAAAGTGGCAGGTGAGTGTACAATATGATTATAGTTTCACCAGATGATTTGAATAGAACTAATTGGAAAGATGTTTATTATTTTACATCGACCGAGGTGATAAAGTTTATTCTATTGATCCATTTTTTTTTCGGCTTGGTCCCTTAATTAATCTGGGGTCAACACAGCGGAATGTACCACCAACTTATCCAGCATATGTTTTACACAGAAAATGCCCTTCCAGCTACAACCCATCACTGGGAAATAAGACAGATCAAACATTTGAAATAAAAAGTTAAATAAACAGGAGAGTCTAGCAGTATTCAAGCATCAAAATCGAACAATCAAACGTAAAATAACATGGTCATTGCATAAATCAGTTTTAGTAATATCTTCATCTTTTAATCTTTAATAAATAATATAACCTTGCGATGTGAATATTGTAAATAAACACATTGCGATATTGATGCTCAAAGGATATATTATTCAGCCCTAATTGTAAACATTGTTTTCTATGTGCTGCACACACTGCATTGCCACTCAGCATCTGTTCATGTTGCTTAGCCACATATAGTAAACAATGTAAAATCTGGGAATGACACAGTGGGTTACATCCAGTGTGCCACCCGCTTTAGATAACTCATTTGTTGACAGTAATTGTGGAGGCAGCGTTTGTGCACAAAGGCACTTTAAAAAACAGATTTCAAACAAAGTAATAATAATTTAATTGATTATTAATCAAATTAAACGATTTAATGTACAACTAAGAAAGACATTCCAGAATATTTACTCACTGAAAAACAAGTACATTTATACCAAAACTGACACCCCAAACTTTTAAGCTGCCATGTTTTTATTTTTAGCTCATCTGTCAAAAACTGAATGCACAGGATTGTGGGATACATCTATGGTGCCTTTAAAATTTGATCAAAAGGTACCTCGCGAGACAGGAAGTGAAGCATAATCTGGATTAGGATGTGAACTGATGCCTTCCTGCCTTGAATGCTACCTCTGGAGAAAGCATTTTAGAGCTTACAGACAAACCTTTGAATAAGATGTGTATTAAACTTCAAACTAGTACACACAGGAGAAGCTAGAGGGCAAATGTCTAAAATGGAACACCTGAAAAGTGTCAATCAGAGTGGTAACCATAGTATAATCAGAATAATTGACTCCAGTCTAATGAATTATTAGAAAGTAATGCACTCCCTCAGGTCTAATCCTTGCATAAACGCTCTCTTAATAAACAATATAACAGAATAATTATAATAAATCAATAGCATAATATATATCATATTAAATGCAAGAAAATAATGTCAAAGCTTTTCATAGAATGTTGAAACACCAAAGTTTAACTTTTCAATCTTTTTTATGTTTTTCTCTCTTTTCACTAGAAAGCTAAATGAGCATGTACTGTACCATTAAACAATTGAGTTACCCAGTGTGTCTGTGTTTACACGGTGTGCTCTTTGTTAGCAGAGAGACTCTTTTGTGGCTCTTGTCAACAGCATTGGTTTTCCTGTAAGCCCTGACTTTAGCAGGTGGCCAGTGAGTACAAAGCAACATTACACCATCATCATGTTCTTTACACACATAACCAGAGGCCATTACTACTCCAGCAAGCAAACAGAAGCTTATCTACGTGTCTGTTTGTTCATGTGGACGTGTGTCCAGAAACTGACTGGTTTCATACAAAACATTAACACCTGCTCCATCTGATTGTAAAGGGGGAAGTATGGGCAGGAAAACAGAATGTTTGTATATTAAAACTGCTAAATGGAACACACACACACACACATGCGCAAAACTCTTGCCTGTTCTTGTTAGTTAAGTAAAATGAATGCAAGCAGGGAGCTGGAGCAGATGTTTGTTTCAACAAAAGCTCTCTGTGATTCAAAAGCTTATAAATTTAAGTGGCTGTCGGCGGCTTTCTGTGATCTGATTGAAATATTGTTATGAGTGAACAAACTGAACATTCAAGAAATGCCACTTCACTTAGAATTATTAAAAGTAAACAATGAGCTAGTACTATTTCAGCATCTTAGAGTAACTGTTTTAGTTTTTATTGATATTTTTTAAATTATTGTTTTTATTTTAACATTCAAGTTTTAGTCATTCGACTGCATGTTTGTCCATTTTAGTATTGAAATCATTTTTACTTAAAATTTTTCACATCCATCCATCCAGCCACTTATCCATCTGTTAAAAAAATTATAAAGTATAAAAATATGAATACATATTTCCTTGACATCTATTTAAAATAAAACAATTACAGTATATAATATATTATTATTATACAGTAGTTCTGTCTGGTTCTCTAATCTGATTGGCTGATAGCGTGCAATATTCTGCAATATCAGAACTCGTACAGCCTCCTCACCCTTCTGTATTACTCCGCCCACATAGAGTGACAGCAGATCAATAAACTTACAACAGTTTGACAAATATTGCAGCTGCTGGACAACAATGTACTTTTGAGTTTTTTTTAGGCGAGAATGTAGTTGTTTACTTTGCAACTATGCAGTTTATTTATAAAGAAAGTGCCTATTTGAAACCTTAAACATTTTTGAGGTTTAGCGCATTGGCGGCCATCAGCCTGTCATACTGAGCAGAGCAAAGATGGTTGATGTTCCGCCAAAAGATGGCGACAGAGAACGCATAATAAGTCCTTATGCTGTGTTCACACTAGATGCGGAACGCGCAG